ATTTTTAATTAGTTTTAATTTCAAATCTCGTGAGATATAACTCATGTAAAAAAAGCCCTTTGGAGAGCTTCAATAATTTTTAAAAGAGGGGTTCTGAGTTCAAGGAGTAAGGAGTTTGACAACTGCTAGCATATCTTAATCCCTTAGTTTGAACCTCTCTCTCTCAACTACAGGCACGCCTCATTTATTGCACACTTCTTTATTATACTTTACAGATATTGAGGTTTTTAAAAACTATTTATTTATTTTAAAATTGTTTTAAATTGCATTTTAGGCTTTGGGATACATGTGAAGAACATGCAAGATAGTTGCATAGGTACACATGTGGCAGTGTGATTTGCTGCCTTCCTCCCCTTCACCTATATCTGGCATTTCTCCCCATGCTATCTCTCCCCAACTCCCCACCCCTGCTGTCCCTCTCCTATTTCCCCCCAACAGACCCCAGTGTGTGATGCTCCTCTCCCTGTGTCCATGTGTTCTCATTGTTTAACACCCACCTATGAGTGAGGACATATGGTGTTTGATTTTATGTTCTTGTGTCAGTTTGCTGAGAATGATGGCCTCCAGGTTCATCCATGTCCCTACAAAGGGCACAAACTCTTTGTTTTTGATGGCTGCATAATATTCCATGTTGTATATGTGCCATATTTTCCCTGTCCAGTCTATCATCGATGGGCATTTGGGTTGGTTCCAGGTCTTTGCTATTGTAAATAGTGCTGCAATGAACATTCATGGGCATATGTCCTTATAGTCGAATGATTTATAATCCTTTGGATATATACCGAGTAATGGGTTTTTTTTTTTTTTCTTGAAGGTTTATGTCAACCCTACATTGAGCAAATCTATTGGCACCATTTTTTCAACAGCATGTGCTCACTTCATATTTCTGTGTCACATGTTGGCAATTCTCACAATATTTCAAACCTTTTCATTATTTTATTTGTTATGGTGATCAGTGATCTTTGATGTTGCTATTGTAATTATTTGGCATCCCTTGAACCATGCCAATATAAGATGGCAAAACTGAACTAATAAACATTGTATGTGTTCTGACTATTCCCCTGATTGTTTCCTCTCTCCCTCTCCTTGGGCATCCCTATTCTCTGAGACAAAATGATCTTGAAATTAGGCCCATTAACAACCCTTCAGTGGCCTCCATTTAGAGTGAAAGGAAGAGTTTCAGGTCTCTCACTTTAAATCAGAAGCAAGAAATTACTAAGCTTAGTGAGGAAGTCATGTCAAAAGCTGAGACAGGCTGCAAGCTAGGCCTCCTGTGCCAGATAGACAAGTTCCTAATGCAAAGGAAAGTACTTGAAGCAAATTAAAAGTGCTACTCTAGTGAACACACAAATGATATGAAAGCAAAACAGCCTTATTGCTGAAACAGAGAAAGTTTTATTGGTCTGGAGTAAAGATCAAACCAGCCACAACATTCCCTTAAATCAAAGCCTAACCCAGAGCAAGGCCCTAACTCTTTTCAGTTCTGTAGGGGCTGAGAGAGGTGAGGAAGCTGCAGAAGAAAAGTCTGAAGCTAGCAGAAACATGTTCAGGAGGTTTAAAGAAAGAAGCTGTCTCCATAACTTACAAGTGCAAAATAAAGTAGCATGCGCTGATGTAGAAGCTACAGAGGTTATCCAGAAGATCTAGCTTAGATAATTGATGAAGGTGGCTACAGTAAACAAAAGATTTTTAATGTAGCCAAAGCAACCTTATATTAGAAGAAGGTGCCATCTAGGACTTTCATAGCTAGCAACAAGAAGTCAGTGCCCAGCTTCAAAGAATAGGATGACTCTCTTGTTAGCAGTCAATGTAGCTGGTGACCTTAAGTTGAAGCCAATGTTCATTTACCATTCTGAACACCCTAGAACCCCTAAGAATTATGCCATATCATCTCAGTCTGGGCTCTGTGTATGGAACAACAAGACCTGAACATCTGTAAGCATCTGTTTATAGCCTGTTTTACTGATCACTTTAAGCCAGCTGTTGTGGCCTACTACTCAGAAAAAAAGACTCCTTTCAAAATATGACTTCTTATTGACAATGTACATAGCCAAGCAAGAGCTTTGATAGAAATGTACAAGGAGATTAATGTTTTTAATGCCTACTAATATAACATTTATTCTGCAGCCCATAGATCAAAGAGTCATTTTTACTTTCAAGTTGTATTATTTAAAAATACATTTCATAAAGCTATAGCTGCCATAGATAGTAATTCTTCTGATGGATCTGGCCAAAGTAAATTGAAAACCTTTTGGAAAGGATTTGCCATTCTAGATGCCATTAAGAACATTGGTGGTTCACAGGAGAAGGTCAAAACATCAACATGAGCAAGAGTTTGGAAGAAGTTGTTTTCAACCCTCATGAATGACTTTGAGGGGCCAAGACTTTAGTGAAAGAAGTACCTGCAGACGTGTTGGAAATAGAAAGAGAACTAAAATTAGGAGTGAAGCCTAATGATAAGATTGAATTCCTATAATCTCATTGATGAAAGTTGAATGGATGAGAGTTGCTGCTTTTTTAACTTCTAATTTATGTTCGGGGTACATGTGCACATTTGTTACATAGGTAAATTTGTACTGTGAGGGTTTGTTGTACAGATTATTTCATCACCCATGTATTAAGCCTAGTACCCATTAGTTATTCTTCCTGATCTTCTCCCTCCTCCCAACCTTCACCCTCTAATATGTCCCAGTGTGTTGTTCCCCCTATGCATCCATGTGTTCTTACTATTTAGCTCCCACTTATAAGTGAGAACATGTGGTATTTGGTTTTCTGTTCCTGCATTAGTTTGCCAAGGATAATGGCCTCCAGTTCCACACATGTACCTGCAAAGGACATGATCTCGTATAAATTGTTCTCTTATAAAGACACAGGCACATGTATGTTCATTGCGGCTCTATTCACAATAGCAAAAACATGGAATCAACCTAAATGTCTATCAACAACAGACTGGTTAAAGAAAATGTGGTACATATACACAATGGAATAATGTAGCCATAAAGAAGAGTTGTTTCTTATCGATACGCAGACAATGGTTTCTGAGATGGATTCTACTCCTCCTAAAGACACTATGAACATTGTTGAAATAACCACAATGGATTTAGAACATTCCATAAACTTAGTTGATAAAGCAGCAGGAAGTTTTGAGAGGACTGACTTCAATTTTGAAAGAAATTCTACTGTAGGTAAAATGCTATCAAACACTATCACATGCTCCAGAGAAATTTTTTTGTGAAAGGAAGAATTCATTGATATGGCAAACTTCACTGTTGCCTTATTTTAGTGAATTGCCACAGCCACCCCAACTTTTAGTGACTACTACTGTTATCAGTCCGCAGTCATCACCATTGAGATAAGACTCTTCTCCAGCAAAAAGATTACAACTCACTGCAGGCTCAAATGATTGTTAGCACCTTTTAACAATAAAGCATATTTATTTATTTATTTTTGAGGCGGAGTTTCGCTCTTGTTGCCCAGGCTGGAGTGCAATGGTGCGATCTTGGCTCACCACAATTTCTGCCTCCTGGGTTCAAACAATTCTCCTGCCTCAGCCTCCTGAGTAGCTGGGATTACAGGCATGTGCCAAGATAATTTTGTATTTTCAGTAGAGTTGAGGTTTCTCCATTTTGGTCAGGCTGGTCTCAAACTCCCGACCTCAGATCATCCGCTCGCCTTGGCCTCCCAAAGTGCTGAGAGTACAGGCGTGAGCCACCATGCCCAGCCAGCATTTTAAAATTAAGGTACATATACTGTGTTTTTGACATAATACTATTGCACACTCACTACATTGCAGTATAGAGTAACCATTAGTTTTATATGCACTGGGAAACCACCCCCCCCCAAAAAAATAATATCACTTACTTTATTGTGATGGTATGAAACCAAACATTCAGAGTATGACTCTATCTCTTTCCCAGCTCTGTCTTATTCTCTACCATTGATCTTCAAGTAAAGTTCCCAACCTCCCAATTTCCTAGACAGGATGATATTGCCCATTGAGGAGCTCCTGTGCACCCCTGTGTTTCTCTTCCATGGCACAGTCACCAAACTTCAGGTTGCAATCCCTCTTTCTGCCTTCTCACTAAGTCAAAGAAGTCCTTTCTTGCACTTCCAAAGTATTTAAAGGGGCATTTGGATCTAGTTTAAATATCTAGGGCAGAGCTTTGCTTGCAGTTAGTTAAATTAGGGAATTTTTAGAATACAGTAGTCCCTCCACATTTGTGGGTTTCACATCTGCAAATAAAACAATAGCAATAAAACAAAGTAATAGAAATAAAAAATTAGTATAATAACGATTTTCATAGTATTTGCAGCATGTTGGGTATTATAAGTAATCTAGAGATGATTTAACATATACAAGAGGATATGTATAGGTTATATGCAGATAGAATGTCATTCTATATCAGGGATTTGAGCATAGTGGATTTTGGTATCCATGGAATGCTGGAACATATACTTTGCAGATATCAAGGGGCAATTGTATATTGGTTCCATTTTAAAATTTAATTCAAATAACAAATTGCAATGATTAGAATTTGTATGATCTTATTTTGGTGCCTCTATTTTATTATTATCTTATTCTCTATCATTGATTGTAAAACCCTCTTTCCTCTCCTCCTCCCTCACCCTCAGCAGTAGTGAAACCAGGTATTGTAGAATATTTTAATGCCAAAAATTGAGGGACAGACTCATTGCCAATCATTCAGTCCAATCTGTGTAAACATCAGAGATTAAAGATAGCTGTTTCTTACCTTCCCCACTTCTAAAACTATAGGTTACTTTGCAATCTGAAATGCAGAAAAGAGGAGTTCAATTGGTTAGTGTAGTTCTGATTATTTGATTACTGTGGGTCAGTGAGGCTCCTATGAGGATCCTAGACCATCATTTTTCTTACTAGGCTTCCTGTATTGCGGAGAGGATGGCTCTCTCACTTTTAAGGTGCCTTGATAAATTAACTTGGGTAGACCTTTTCTGAGGGTGGGTGAACGCGTTTCTTCCAGGAATAAAAGTCTCACTTAAAAGAGTGAAATGAAAACTGACCAAGAACAAAGGCATCATTAATTTCAAGTGGAAGAAATAATTCACAAACCTGAGGTAAGTCACTTCTCATGGGCAAACTATTTCCTTTTATATACTTTGGTCACCTTAGTTTACATTACTATACAGAAACCTATTAGAATACTTTCATTTATGCTCTTAGATTTTCAACACCATTAGTCCCATGAGCTGAAAATGCCACAAACTTCAAAGTGTACCCATAGCTTCATTATTATTGCTTCAAACCTCCCTTTTCCAGTAGCCCACAAACTTTCCACCCCCTGAGTAGTTAAGCAGTAGTTACAGTTACCATATTTAAATTCTCCTCCTCTTGGCAAGGTGCCACTTCTTGTGGTTAAAGGAAGAAGCATAAAAACTTATTAAAAAGTTCTGAAAATACATCAAACACTCAACGCAGTGTGTGCTCATGATTTGTGTGGAAATGAATTACAAAATGTAGATTGAATTTCCCCCTAAATTCAAATGACTTGGACAAAATGAAAGAAAATAGTACATGGCACAGATGTAAGCACCATATAATTTTTCCTTCAAATAGTTTTTATGAAAGCTCACCATTGTCTATTTTACTCAACCCCTTAAGTGTTGACTTAGACTATTAAAATTTTTAAAGTCAACACTCAAAATGATTGGACTTTTTTTCTCTCACAAATCAAATTTATTAGTGTTTCAAGAACATTTCACTTGAAAATAAAAATCGAAGAATCCTCTTTGTCTTCTCTGATTCTTAACATGCTTTTGAAGGGGAAAATTTACTTAATTGCTAAAAGTTACTTATAAGTTGATGTTGAAGTCCATATAGAACCCTATGCATAGAATGAATATATATTTATACATGTGTGAATACATATTTTCTTTTTATTCCATGTTTGTTCCAAAGTCTTGATAAGTCCTGAGGTAATCCCTATTTCTAAGCATGAACATCCACAAAATGAAATGTCATTGTAGCTCAGATATTATATAATTTTGAGATTTCCTACAGGCTTGTTCTAAACATTAAAAAATAAAGCATGTCCCCAACTGTGTGTTCAATTTCCTGTGTGATCTTTGGAAATGCTGTAATTAAATAAAATGTAACACATGTGGGATCTGTACTCTTGCTTATTATGACTTTAAAGTCTTCAAGGCCTTCTCCTTGAATGCAGTCAAGATGCCCAGAATAAAGAATGACAAATGATACTTTTTGGTCTTGCTGTAACTTTCCACTAATCTTCAGCAGGTTTTGAGACTGCACTGCAGAAATCCTGGATAACTCCTATTTATTTTTGTTAATGTATAAGCAACACATGGGAGGAATACTGAATGTTTGGTATCCAGACTTCGTGTCCTCATGTTATGTACCATAGGGGAAACTGAGGCTCAGAGACTTTTCCTAAGATAAAAATAGAGCTACACATCTAGATCCAGCATCTCTCTGCTAGGATTCAGATGGTGTCCTATCTGTATACACTTAAGAGCAGACTACAAATGCATGTGTTATTCAGTTAAGTATTTCCCTTGCATTTCCTTGATGCAGTTAAAATTGTGAATGTATTCTTTGATGTCTTAATTTTCTTGGGCTGTTGAGATATGTCTGCTGACTCTCAATGTCAGAGCTCCCTCATTACTGAACATGTAGGAAGTTGAACACAGCTCTTGAGAAATTTATGCATTTAAAGGAACTCATGCAAGCTGGAATAAAAACAGAAGTGATATGAGAGTTTTTCTGTAGCTACTGTGGGTCGCAGGATTGAATGGAGTGATTAGGGACTGGAAAGTTCAATAGGAAAAATAAATTAGATCAGCCCAAGAAATAGGGAGTCATAAGAGCAGTAATTCTAGGTCACATTACAACAAACAGGGTTTTCTGGGTAGGAAATACAAGTTGAAGAACTTGGCTTTTGGACAGGAAATATTACTGGGCTTCATGACCTGTTTTAGGAGAGATGGGGTAGGGGGAAACTGAGAGTGACCTTCTAGCTTCTGCTACTTTCTCAAATGCCAGGGTGCTATATTTTGGGGGAGCTTGTCCTGAACTCCAACCATATGTTTAAACTAGTTATTTTATAACTTCTTTTGGCTAAAGGAATAAAAAATTACCTAAGCATACCGATAGAAGTACAAGTTAGAAAATACCAATTTCACGGTAGCATTGAAGCTGATTGAAATAGAAGACAAACATGACTCAGCAGTCACGCCCCTCCATCGTCTCCCTTTACCTGTAGGCTTTATCTCTCATCAGTGTCAACTAGAAGTTTTTGTATGACTTAGATGGAACCGTCCACCATAAAGTGCTGGCAATGATCCACTATGGTGAACCTCACTTACAGGAGAAGAGTGGAGCCAGATCAGATCTGCAAGGTTTTAGTCTAAGGCTGAGAACATTCTTGTGGGTTTTGTTTGTAGAAATAATCTCTAGTGAACCTGTCTTAGGTAATTTTATTTGCTCGGGTTTGTTGCCACTATCATGCTAAAGATTGATAAAAACCAAAGAAGATTGTATTTTCTTATGTCTGCTATTTTAAGTAAAGATGGTAGCATAGGCTAAGTAAGGCACAGAAACTTCAAACATTTGCTTATTTTTTTCTTTTCCAGAATAGCAGTTTCCTTCTGATTTGGGATCGCTTTTGCCTATGTAAGTATATTTTTCAGGGTCCAGTGACCTGAAAAGTGCTGTTCATTATGAGGTGACGTCTCAGATCAGCCTTGTTGGCATAGAATGGAATGTCCCAATGATGACGGCAGCTGTCCTTGTCTACTTGTTTGTTCTAAACAGTTTCTACACATTTAAAGGGTGATTTATTGCAGGCCCAGCTGCTTTGCTTATTTTTTCAGTAGTTGAAATTAAAAATAATTCATTTGTAATTGAATCTCAGAGAGAAATAATATTAAATATACTTTCAGCCCGAGACGGAGCAGAAAGTAGAAGTTTTTCTCATGAATTAAAGCCATCTGCACAAAGATGCGTGGTTGCTTAGGGTGGACCTGAGGATGGTGGTTGGAATGCATTTTTAACTTTAGGACATGCTTTCTTTTGGGGTTTGGGCATAAAAATAACTGTGTTTTTATGATTAGCATGACTAGCACTAGTAATCCAAAAATAAAATAAGACTTTAAAACACATGTGCACACATTCACACCTACACACACACATTTATTCCTGCACACACACACAGACACACACACAAACACACAGACACACACACACACAAACAGTACTGCATAGATTCAGAACGAAAGTTTGAACAGACCCAAGTGAAAACATTTCTAATAGAGCTAAATGAAACCAGCACTGGAGACCGAAGCAAAGAAGAGAGAGAAAGGTGAGAGAAAGTTACAGAAGTTTGTTAGCAACGGTTCTGACAACAGGTTGGCAGTTACTGTGTCGTTCAGAATAGAGAATTCGGTCACATTGACAACTTCACCCAGGCCATTTGGTTTTTAAAGCAACAACCACTTATTCAATTTATTCATATTCTTTCATTTGTTTACATACTTGTTTGTTTATTCAGCCAGTCATTTTAAGAGGAGGTTATTGGGAGCCTTGGGTATTCCTTCTTCTTTGTAGGATCTGTAGTGACCCACGTCACTAGTTGAGACCTCTGCTTCATGTGAGTACCCTAGGGAGACAGGTTTGTATTCCGTTGTTTTTATGGTGACTGCGTGAAGAAAGTTGTAGAGACAAAGTGCTGTGGGACCACAAGAGAGTGACAGAAGCTTTACTAAAGACAGCAGTTGGCGAGGTTCTTATAATTAGTCCCTGACAGAAGCTTTACTAAAGTTGGTGAGGTTCTTATAATTGGTCCCTGACAATTCAGCTTGTCTTTCAATCCAAGATCCTTTTAGCTAAATCCCAGGTGAGTCTGTTCTCTTTTTTCTATCCTCACTTGTTTTCCTTCTTACCATCCTTTCTCTAGGCTTTACATCTCCTTTCTCATTCATCGAAGACTTGAGTTAACCATTTTTTCTTCTAATTTGTGGAGAAAGGTGCCATTTTCCTTGGCCTTCTGTGTCATGTGTTGACCTAAACATCAGGGAGGTCCTTTTCATCAAAACATTACATCAGTCTCACTGTATAACAAATACAACTCTCTACAATAGGATCTAATCTTATCTGTGAACCTAGGAGTCAGAGGTGTGAGGCATAAAGAAATCAAATGCTGTGTATGATTTTGTTTGGTGGGAAGAAGATAAGTCAAGGAATCACAGGTTCCAGGTGACCTCTGAGAAAAATGTGCTGCTTCTTTGAAAGGTAGGAAATAGGATTCTAAAAAAATCTCTGGGCTATTTAAAGGGTTGAGAAAATACTTAGATATTGTATATCACCCCAGTAAACTTATTACAAAGAATATTTAAGTGAAAAGTGGTTGCTATGTGACAGAGATATGCGGAAGAGAGGATGTCATTAGAGACATCTTCATTTGAGTGGTGTGGGCTTTACACGGATGGTAGAAGTGAAGTAACAGTTTCTTTCCACTCATGTCACAGCATGCAGCAGCACCTTATCATGTCACTTGAAAAGGTTCTTGAAAACCATTGTCAAAAGACTGAAAGAAGAAGACAAGCAGATCAGCTGTTCCCTGGAATACAAGTAAGGGAAGACACAGATCAGAGGCTGCCTCAAGACCCACAGGCAGCATCCCTGTGCCTACCTGCCTATACCTTAGGAGCTGGCTGCCTCCTGAGAATGAGAAATGCCTTTCTTGGGCCTCAGTTTCCAAATATTTTAATTGAGAAGCTTGACTAGATCAAACTTTCTCTATTTATTTTCTGGAGCAAACTAGAAGTGTGATGAGCCTCCCATGTGCAAATTGTAGAGCACTGATCATGCCTAAACTCTTTTCTTTCCCATAAAAGAAATCTTAATGGAAATTCAGCAAACTACCATTATCCTAGGAAAGGCCTTGAGTTCTCACCAATTTATATAAGCAAATTTTGGTACTTTAATGATTGTTAGTATTGAGTTACTTATGAATTCCTCACATTGCTATAGACAGCTGCCAAAAAGGACAACTCCAAGAAGTCGGAAGATCTAACATTCTAGATTTCATGTTTCCCAGTACCTGTGAAGAAAGGGGTTAAAATAGCCAGGCCTGAGATTGCTATTCCTAGAAAGGCCTGTCAGCAAGATTGGCATTTGACTGGCATCTGGGAACTTTACTGGTAAACAGTTCCCAGCATTGATATGAAACTTTCATTAAATGATAAGGCTGACTCATGTGGTTTGTGAAAACATATGGTTCATGCTGAATACCTGCTTTTCTTCTAAGGGTCTGGAATTTTGGTACATGCTAGGCAAAGGATGCCTATATGACCAGTCCCCAGTAAAACTTTGGGTGTTTAGTTTCTATTGAGCTTCCCTGATAAACAGTGCTTAACTCATGTTGTCACAGTTAGCTGCTGGAGTAGAATTAGGGGATCTTATTTGACTTTACTGAGAGAGGACCCTTGGAAGCCTATATCTGATTTCTCCATGTGTCTTTTTTCTTTGATGATTTTACTTTGCATCCTTTTGCTGATGTCTCTATGCTGAGTCCTTTGAGTCCTTTGAACAAACCTGGTGCTGGAAACCCCTAATTCAGGCCACATACTGATTTTTTTTTAAATTACGTATTAAATGTTGCCTGCTAAGTAACTTTTGGGGGCGAGGGGACAGAGTAATGGGGCAAGAGCAAAGATGAATAGCACATGGTTGTGTCCTGGTTTACTGGGTAAACTTGACTTACACAAGAGGGTAAATGCAGTAGAGAGTGATGGTAGGTGGGGCAGGAAGAGGGTGTCAGGTGCTGAGGGTGAGATGAGTATGACGGAAGTTAATTAAACATTTATAATGGGGATAAGAGGGTTATAACATGTGGTGCTCTTAATGCCCATTGCAATGTATAGATGATTTAGGGAGCATGACCTGAGTATGGAGGGAAGGTGAAATCCCTCAAAATGGTAAAAAAGAGTAAGGATATATTTGAGAAGGGGTGTTCTGAGACACAAGAGCCCAGAATCATGTACTTCGCTTTCTTCTAACTAAAAAGGAAGGGAATGGTATTGAGTGAGGAAGAACTTCAAAAGAGTCATCAACTTCAGATTGGAGTCGTAGGAATTCCAAGTCAGCTAAATCAAATCTAAATCCTTGAGTAGTGAAAAGCATGGTATGATGATTATGAAAATAATAATGACTAAATGTAGCATGTGCTTCCTGTGTGCCAGGTACTGTCGTGAGCTATTATATGCACTGAATCTTTTAATCACCCTAGCAACCTGTGACGTAAGTACTTTTCTCATCCTCCCTGTTTTAGATACAGAAGCAGAGGTCCAGAAAGTTACTTTTCTCATAGTTATAGACCTGGTAGACCTTACTTAAAACTTCCATAGTTAGCTGCTGTGGGAATTAATAGAAGGTTCATTTGTTAAAGGCAGGACTTCCTTTCCTCTCAGCATATGCCTCTGCTAGGAACACTCTAAGCTCATCCAAGACAATGGAGTACTGAGGAGAAAGGCAGAGGCAGCAACCTCTCCTCTTACCTAACACCGTGGTCATGGGACTATGGGGAGGCAGTGTGGTGCAGTGGTTTAGCGCCTGCCTTTTGTGTCAGTGGAAACTGAGCTAGATCAGCTCTGCAGCTTACTAGCTGACTGATTTGGGACAGGTTGCTTAGATTTCTCTGTGCCTCATCTCCTTCATGGATAAGCTGCAGGAACCTACTATCTACTTGATGTGGCTCCTACAAGGAATGAATGCTATAAGATGATGATTGTAAATTGGTGGCACACTGCCTGGTCCATAGTAAGAACTCAACAAATGGTAGCTATTACTAATCAGTAGGAAATAGAGTATTCTCACACCAATTTCCATTTTATGGCCACTTTTAATTTACCACTAATTACATTTTGATGGCATTGGCATACAGCATTTAATTGACTGAAAAATTCCATTAATACTTTATAATGAAGTACACAAATTATAGGGGAAATCATTGTGGTGGTGTTCTAAAGGAAGGCCTACTTTTTCCTTCTATCAAATATGTGAAAATTGTGAGAATGTCTATATCTCAATAACTTGGTAACTGTCAACAGCTTCATGTGAATGGGACCATTAGGCTCCTCAGGAGTGAGCGATACAGTCTTTGACAGTGGTACCTCTTTTTCGTACTCCATCAAGGAAACTGCTGTACTTTTAGTCATGTCCCTCTCCCCACCACCACCATTACCATGTCCATCAACTCCTTTCCTTAGGGTAATTTCTGTTTTGTTTTGTTTTAGATAGTCTCACTCTGTTGTCCAGGCTGAGATGCAGTGGTGCAATCACAGCTCACTGTAGCCTTGAACTCCCAGGCTCAGGTAATCCTCCCACCTACGCCTTCCAAGTAGTTGAGACCAGAGGCATACACAACCATGCCTAGCTAATTTTTTTTTTAAGATGAGTCTCACTCTGTCACCAGGCTGGAGTTCAGTGGCATCATCTTGGCTCACTGCAACCTCTGCCTCTCAGGTTCAAGTGATTTTCCTGCCTCAGCCTCCTAAGTAGCTGGGACTACAGGTGCGTGCCACCATGCCCAGCTAATTTTTGTGTTTTTAGTAGAGATGGGATTTCACCATGTTGGCCAGGATGGTCTCGATCTCTTGACCTCATGATTGAGACCAATCTCGATCCACCCACCTCAGCCTCCCAAAGTGCTGGAATTACAAGTGTGAGCCCCTGTGCCTGGCCCTGGCTAATTTTTATTTTTATTTTTTGTAGAGATGGGGTCTCGCTATGTTGCCTAGGTTGGTCTCGAACTCCTGGGCTCAAGCATTACTCCTGCCATAGCTTCTCAACATGCTGGGATTACAGACATGAGGCACCACACTCTGCCTCTAAGGTAATTTTTGGATTCGTATCTTTGCTTAGCCACCGGCTTTACTCTTAGGATAAGAGTGTTAGCACTCCTGATAGGTACTCATGTCCTGTCTTTTGAACCTTAGTCACATTGCTGGTTCAGCACACTTAGTGAAAAGGTGACAACTGTGAATCTTTAATCCTTCTCATCAACATGCTGCCTCTACCAGTGTCCTGAATGATGTCCTCAACCACATGTCACTAGCTGGCTTCTCTTCCCCTGGCCTGCCTTGAAAAAGAGGTTAAAAAAAAATATGCTCAGAACCACTTATGGATTGCCAGTTCTTCTTTCTCAATGATCTGTTTTTGAGACAGAGTTTCGCTCTTGTTACCCAGGCTGGAGTGCAATGGCGCAATCTTGGCTCGGCACGATCTCGGCTCACCACAACCTCCGCCTCCTGGGTTCAGGCAATTCTCCTGCCTCAGCCTCCCGAGTAGCTGGGACTACAGGCACGCACCACCATGCCCAGCTAATTTTTGTATTTTCAGTAGAGAGGTATTTCACCATGTTGACCAGGACGGCCTCAATCTCTTGAGCTCGTGATCCACCCGCCTCGGCCTCCCAAAGTGCTGGGATTACAGGCGTGAGCCACCGTGCCTGGCCCTCAATGATCTTCAGTGACCTAAAGTCCCTGTGCCCAGGCCTTGACCCATTGCCGTGGGCATTATAATTTCTTCTTACCAGGCAGAAGGCAAGGGGTCTAAAATGAGCTTCCTAGCTACTCACATAAAGGGACTTTTATCAACCTACTGTATCTCTCGCTCTTGCTGGTATTCAAGTTCACCATGACGCCTAGATTTTTTTCACCTGTACTTCCTCAGCCTTTATTTATTCTCTATTTGCATTGAGGGTGTTTGTTCTTAGGTATTACTTTACATGTACCCTTACTGAAGTTTATCAATTGTTACTGCCATTGAAAATATTTTGTGGCCAGATATGGTGGCTCATGCTTGTAACGCTAGGACTTTGGGAGGTGGTTCCAGGCAGGTAGATCGCTTGAGCCCAGGAGTTTGAGACCAGCCTACTGGTCATGGCGTGACAAGGTGAAACCCCATCTTTACTAACTAAATAACTAACTAAAGAAATAAATACAAAAGTTCACCAGGCATGGTGGCCCATGCCTGTAGTCTCAACTACTTGGGAGGCTGAGATCAGAGGATCACTTAAGCCTGGCAGGTGGAAGTTGCAGAGAGCCGAGATAATACTACTGCACTCCAGTCTAGGTGATAAGAGAGAGAGAGAGAGACCCCTGTTTAAAAAAAAAAAAAAAATTCTGTGGTTCCAGAGTTCTTACTATACAAATTAATTATCTGAAAATTTGATGAGAAATTCTTGATCTCTTTTTTGAAGATAGAGACAGCAATGTTTTCCATATTTCAGTTATTCATATACAACACCTTCAAAACTTTTTGCTATATGTCCATACCCCTGTACTATTATTTGCTTAATAAAGTCAAATGACCCCTGGGGAGACAAAATTGCTACAAGTGGAGAATCACTGATGTGATTCATGTATATATGGGAGAACAATGCAGGTCTCCTTGCCTTAATATTTATTCTTTGAATACAAACTTCGGGCCAATATGAGATGTAAAACCAGACTACACATATTGTTTATGGAGGCTGTCATTCTGTCATAGGAGGAGACTAAATAGGTTTGCTAAGATTTATCCTTCTTTTAGTCATACTGGTTTCTATGCAGTCCCTAAATCAGGGGTCTGTCATTTTTTTAGAGGGTCTAAAGAGGAGCTACCTTGTCACTCGCTTGAGGATTCATCAGCAACAGAAGAGGAAGCTGATCTAGGGGGATGCTGCTGATTGTCTGTAAGCCATACAAGGAGTAGACAGTTCACAGAGGAGCAGATGCCACAGCCACCATTATCTTGTCTGTGTGTGTGTTCTTCATTCGTTCCTAGGATAAGGCTTTTGCAAGGAGAATAATGCTCTTTTCCCTTTTGTGGAGGTAAACTTGTATGTGGATGATCATACTTGTATGCAACCTACTGTAAGAGAAAAACATAATAAATCCTACAAATAAAAAATAACATTTTGCTCACATCACAGTTGGGAATGGGTTGCAGGGTCCTCTGAGGCAGCTGTCCTTTAAGTGTTTACTCAGGGATCTCAGCATTGCTGCCTTTGACTATGTGGCTACATCATCTTGGGCCAAGAGATCATGGAAGATTATTTGGGACTGCAGGTACATAGTTCTGGTGAAAACTCTGAAGAAGGTATGTGAGCAATTAAAATTTGTCAAATGCAGTGTTAGGTGACAACCTGCATCGGATTTCTAGATAGCCAGTGTTTGATGGAATCTCCCTGGTGTTGGCTCTCTAGACCATTTGTTCTAGGGACCTGTCTGCCCAACTGGACTTCCTGCCTTGTCTCATAGTGCCTCCCTGATGTCTCCTCAACTGCAACTCCAAATCCCAGCCACTCTCTGTCTGCATCCCTCAGCTACACAGTCCCCTTCCTGGTCCTCTGCATGATGAAATAAGTCAAGTAGACCGGTTCAAACTTCTCCACTGGGACTGCAAACTGTGATCTCAGACAATGAAGCATGGCCTCCTAAAGTTATAAGCCCAGGCATTCCAGAGAGACAGAATGTTGGAAAATGCCTTATGTTAAATGCAATAAGGCAAATGAAAGAACATGCTTTAAAAATAATAAGATCTGAGAGAAGTGTGTTTTATTTAATTATTATATTTCTACTAGAGATGGTATCATGGCAAAAATAAGGAGACTTTCTCCATCAGCAAATCCCATTCCAGTTTTACTAAGGTGTAGTCACCCTTTAGTAAGAAGAAAAGGTGAGAAGAGTTTCGATTGTTTTCATTCTGAGGTTTATGGCCAGGTGTTTGTATATACTTAGTGGACTTACATAAAAACACTTTAAAAAGTTACAATTTTTTGGTGAAGATAATGCAAAAGAAAAATGTTAAAACAAACTAAAATCAGCACTTTGGGAGGCCAAGGCGGGTGGATCACGAGGTCAAGAAATCGAGACCATCCTGGTCAACATGGTGAAACCCTGCCTCTACCAAAAATACAAAAATTAGCTGGGCATGGTGGTGCGTGCCTATAGTCCCAGCTTCTTAAGAGGCTGAGGCAGGACAATTGCTTGAACCCAGGAGGCAGAGGTTGCAGTGAGCCGAGATCACATTTTTACTATCTTCTGTTAAGAAGTGTTTTTTCTCCATGAGGAGGACAACATAATTTTTCTTCATTGCTTGTATTCATCATACCTGAGGAATATTATTGGTTATGTTTTATATCTTGATGAGTTTAATCAAGTATACTTGATGCTATGCCAAATTGGAAAAGAGACAAGATATATCATCCAGCCATCCCATTCCATACTTTTAGCTACTCTTGTTGGTTCATGTTTCCCTCAGATGCAAGTATTTTCAGGCTGTTTTGTAGGCTGGGGATACTATTGATCAAAGTTAACAGATTTGGTTCTTTTGTACTCCTCCTCCAATTGTTTGGACAGGGATTTTTTTTTTTTTTTTTGAGACTGAGTCTCTCTGTTGCCCAGGCTGGAATGCAGTGGTGGTGGTGTGATCTCGGCTCACTGCAACCTCTGCCTCCTTGGTTCAAGTGATTCTCCTGCCCCAGCCTCCTGAGTAGTTGGGACTACAGGCATGAGCTACCACATCCAGTTAATTGTTTTTTGTATTTTATAGTAGAGATGGGGTTTCTCTATGTTGGCAAGGCTGCGAGCTCCTGACCTCAGGTGATCTGCCCATTTCAGCCTCCCAAAGTGCTGGGATCATAGGTGTGAGCCACTGTGCCCAGACTGGACAGAGATCTAGCAATAGATGATGGTTGTACTGAAGCCTGCTCTTCCCTTGCCTATTGATTTTGTTTTTACTGTTATCCAGGGGAAAAAAAATTCATCCAATGAAACTAATATACACTGAGGTTTTAGGGGACTAATATATGCTTTCATTAGAAGAAAACTTTTTCATCATTCTGAAAACAATACTGATTTTGTTTGTGATGTTAAGCTATTTAGAAGAAAATGCAACTGAAAGCTTTAATTGCATATATATATATATATATATATATATATATATATATATATATAATTGAAATAGGGTGCCTCAGAACATACTAGCCTGTGAAAGTTAATGATGGAGCAACAATAATCATCGTAAAACTGTTTCTTTGGAGGCACTTGGCCTGTCAAGTTTTGTTCTCAGTGATTTCAGGGTTCACCAGGGAACTCTTCTTCTGCACATGTGTCCTTGTGACCAGCAGTTTTGCTGTTGCCATGACTACTCATGCTGCTCCTGAAGCCAGTGAAGCTCTCTGAGGCCCAATAACCTTGTCATCTTCTGATGTTAGGAGACTCCTAATGTTTTCACATGTTCTAGCTACAAGCCCCAAGCCAAACCCGTCCTCGTCTTTATCTTATGGGTGCATCTATTCTAAGCTTCAGAATCTTGCTCTTTAGTGAAATAGATGCTGCAGTGCGTTGAGTGGTGGCTTGCCAAAATTTTTTCTTAAATAAAGTAGAGTTGGTTGATACGTTTGTCCATATCCTGACTCCTGGAACCTGTGAATGAGACCTTATTCTGGAAAAGAGTCTTTGTCAATGTATTAATAATTAATATAATTAAAAATGAAGTAATTATTAATTATGCAATGTAATTAAGGATCTCAAGATAAGATCATCCTGAATTATTAAAGTGGATACCAAGTTCAGTGGCAGGTAGGTGTCTTTGTGAGTGACAGAAGAGGAAGACACACAGACAAAAGAGGGGAAGACCATGTGACAGAGATTGGGGTTATGTGCCCACAAGCCAAGAAATGGTTGGAGTCATCAAAAGCTGGTAGTGCCCGGGACGGATTCTTAGAACCTTTGGAGTATGTGTGACCCTGCTGACTCCTTGATTTCACACTTTTCAATTCCAAAACTGAGAAAGAATATATTTCTGTTGTTTTAAGACACTGAATTTGTGGTAATTTGTTACAGCAGCTAATTAGGAAGACAATACAAATATATATTTCAGACTTTATTTCAACCACTTTTCTCTAAGACTCAGTATCAATTCCTGGGGATTGCGTTTAGGAATCTACATGACAGACTGCGATAATATACTCAAAATCAGTCCTTAATCAGATGCTGATTCAACCTTAAACCACGCTGTGTGCCTCAGCTTTCTCTTCCCTTGGTTTGAAGTTTTTTCATGTTTTTTTTTTTTCTCCTCAGGGACTTCCCCAGAGCCTGTGATAGGCTGGATATCACACATGAGGCGGGTTATCAACAGCAAAATTCCTTTGGTTCTGGTCATAATATTAGGTTAGTGCAAAAGTTGTGGTTGCTGTCATTATTTTCAATGGCAGAAAACACAATTACTTTTGCTGCAACCTAGTAAGTTTAGAAGTAGACACCTGACTCATGCCTGGCCATCCAGTGGGGATGGTGGTATCGAAACCCAGAGCAGTGGGCAGATGGAGCCATCCCATGTAAATTTGGAAGTGGGTATGTCCATGTTTCATGCAATATACTGGGGAGGAGAGGAAGTATGTCTGTAGAGAAAAGAATACAGGTAAGAGAAAGCATGTCCCCAACCTGATCCCTTTCCTGGTCTTTTCTAAGGAGTATTTTGGCTCTTACTTCCCCACCATGAATATAACACATTCCCCTTTTTATTTCTTAAATAAAGTAGAGTTGGTTGATATTTGTCATGAAAAAGTTCGTAGTGAAAGCAAATCCAACTTCTGGGCTCCCTAGTCCTTCCTAGAAGCACTGCGACTCACACTTGGTCCCTGCCATCTAGCACTTTGTAGGTACAAAACACTCTGGTCCGCATTATCTCATTCCAAACTTGTGTGGGCGGTGACCTTTGAGACATGGGCAAAGGAGATTTGATCCATCCTTAACATTTAAAGGTACTGGACTTAGAAAGGATGACAGGGGCTCTGGAATCCAGATCAGTTCTATTCTGTTTAAAAAATTTAACAACCAAAGCAAGACTAAATGGTCCTAGCAGGGTCTGAATATGAAAGATTCTTCAGTATAGAAGGTTCAGAGCAGAAGGAATAATGGAACAAGTGTATTCTGTGACTACTTTCAGGGCAGACAGTGGGAAGGAGGGGGTTGGAGGAAAACAATTACCCAGTCTGAGAAATATTAACGCCCCCAGCCCTGGGAAGGATGGATGACAAGAGAGCACTGAAGAGGTGATTGGGCCCCTGATGTGAGGAACAGTCACAAATAAGCCGACAAAGCCACACATAAGCCTAAAGCATCCAGCAAGGATTAAGCCCCATTAGTTAACCTGTTAGCATAGAGGTATTTGGCTGGGTTAAAAGGTAGTTTTACTTTAACCCACACATTGCCTGTACCAGAAAACTAAGTAGAAAGTGGGCTTTGTTTTACATGTTTTAGGTCTACATGTTTTAGATTTCAACACTTTCAAAAGAGTTTGGGAGCATAAATAGTCAATATCAGAGAAGAATATCAGTAATTTCTGTCACCCTCCTCACATTTTCAAACCTCATTCGATTTTACTGTTTTTTTTTTCCCCAGAATAATTATCAGTCACTACTCTCTCTGCTGCAGCCTATTTTTCTCTCTAAGCTTTTGATTTTTATCTGCTTTTTCCCGGGAGAAATAGTCTTCAGGTATCTGAGGCCAACTACAATTGAAAATCCTCCCAATGGTTCAGTTATCATTTAACTAATATTTTATTGAGCACCAACTATGTGCCACGCATTGTTCTAGGAGCTCAGGATACATAGTGAGCAAACATTTCTGTCTTTTGGAGCTTACATTATTAAACAGGTGAAAAGGAGAAAATGTTATGGGAGAAAATAGAACAAGAGAAAGGATGAGGAGCATGGGTTGCAAGTTTCAAAAGACTGGTAGTGGTGGTGATTGTTTCTGGCCCATCTCCTAGCTGCTGAAGTTTTCTCTTTGACTGGCCCATCCTCAGTCCTCAATGCTTCAGGACAGGCATTGTGTCCCTTATTTTAGGATTCCTGCTGCAGTTAGTTCATTAGAGTTGAGATAATCCTTGCTAAGGGCCCAGGATTAGAAATGTAGCCCATTAAAATGTGGCCCATTAAAAAATACTAAGCCATGAGAATAAAAAATATTATATGTGTGTTACCTACTTACATCTTTATACTTTTTTCAATTCCTTGTTGAATAAAAAGAAAACCTTCTTTCTCCTTTTTCATATCAGGATTTAAATTAATCATGTTGCCTACTTGTCCTCCATTCACTTTATTAGGAAAGTCACAGAGTGGAGGAGGAAAAGTCAATCTTACATAATCAACCTGGCTGTTTCTGGCATTTTCAGGAGAAACAGAAGGAATGCAATTATTATTATTATCTATTTTTTAAGAAATGCAAAGAGAGTTTTCTATTTATCCTCTCTGACACCTTTCTTGTTTTCTCTGCCTTCTGAAGAGTTGACACCAGTGGGGAACTTCATTTGAAGTCAAGGAAATCAATCTTTTATTGAGATTTCAGGATCCAAACTTGCATAAACTGCTCTATTCAAACAGCTTTTCTGCCTTTGTTGAGTTCTAATCTTGCCCTGCAGGACCAACCACATAATTTTTGGGGCCCTCTGCAAAATGAAATATGAGGCCCTTGTTCAAAATTAAGAATTTTCAGATGGCAGCAGCAGAGCAGTAAGCCAAACATGGGCCCTGCTGAATGGACCAGGAAGCTGACCCTGCCTCCT